GCGGGAGCGCCGCTGCGCTTCCCAAGCGGTGCACTATCCAGTGTGCCACCGGGCCGGCCCCTACTCCTACCAGTCTTAAACAGCACAGTAAAGGCAGATCAAATCAATCCATACCCTCTGGGCACAGAGGCAGTTGGCCAATGGTGAGGAACACTGAATCTCATTTCCAAGTCCTTGCCACAATATCCCAACCACCACATAACTCTTACCTACAGTGGCCATTATAAAATCACTAATTTTATTATCTCTCAGAAATTTCATCTGGGAATAGAAAGGGGTTTCTTTTAGCTATATGTCTGATAAGATGCTCTTTTCAAGAGTTTTTTCTTAAACATCTACAAGGCAGGAGGAGGGGAGAGATGACTATACATATACTGCATCTAACTTACGGAAGAACTAATCACATAAAGCAGGGGTAAACTATGGCCTACCAGCCGAAACTAGTCCAATGCCTCTGTTTAAATGGCCTGCTAACTAATCATGTATTTTACATTTTTAAATTCTTGAAAAAAAATAAAAAGAATAGTTTGTGACACATAAAATTATATGAAATTCAAATTTCAGTGTCCAAATATAAGATTTTATTGGGACACAGCTACGCTCATTCACTTAAATACTCTCTATGGCTCCTTCTGCACTGCAACTGAAGAGTTATGTGGAGTATAAATGAAGCAAATGTATTTCACAGGACCTGGTTTTCCAAAGCCTTGCAGTTTCAAAAGTTAACCTTGCAAAGGACAGGAAATTTTCCCCAGGCTATAGTCTCTGTTGTAAGATAAAGAACTGTAACATAGCGAGGTTGCTGGCTCAAAGACAGGTTACTGATTGATATGTAAAGATACTGGGACATTGCTGTAAGAAGAGAATGTTTGCTAACATCAAGCTTTTGTTGGTGGATCAACTTAACTTCTGGCAAACTGCATTATGGAATGCCACCTTGCTTTTTGTAATGAATGTTACCAGCTTCTATTGTTAAACTTGTTAAACTACACTTAGCAAAAACCCCACCTGTGTTCTCTCGCTGTAACTTCCTGGTCTGGAGAATAAATGCAGGAAGCGAACTCCAATTCATGGTTAATTTCCCAAATGGAAGGAATGCCTCTGTCTTGAGGGTTTTGGGAGATTAACTGTAAGGCCCCATAGAAGACCCCAAAGGAGGCACTCCCTAAAACATGGCGCTTCTCTTCCGGGTCCTAACAATCTCGCCGGCGCCAAGGTGCAGCCTATCAGAAATCATTACCTGCCCCCGGCCAATCAACTACCGCCCCGTGTACTAACTACCCTCTCCCAGAACCCAGCTCTATATAAACGTATGCTTCTCCCCAGAATAAAGCGGAACTTCTTCGGTGAACTGTCAGCTCGGGTCCTGTCGTCCTTTCATTGGTGCCGAAACCCGGGAGGAGGTCACCCCTTACCCGAGGGGACTCCTTCTCGGATCTCCTTCACTCTCTCAGCGGTTCCCACTGCTGACGCTTCGCCCTCGTCCGTTTTCTCCGGCGCTGGTTCTCTGCACCCACCACCGGCTCACCTAAACGTAAGTCTCTCTCCAGGGGCGCCATCTTAGG